GTCTGATTTGATCTCAAATGCTAAAGCTATGAAGCGCTGCTACTTTAACGACGTACAGGCTCCAAAACCCTTATTAAGTATACTATAACAATGGTGTAACTGTAGGTATAGCATAACCCATATTAAACACATAGCTAGCTTATGACAATCGCAACATGGCGCACGTAATTTGCGCATCCTACATGAGTGCCTATTGGGGCACAGTGACTGAAAGTGAATTAACACGAGCAGGAGGAGAGTGACGCCTTCTCGCTAGGAATAGAGTAAGCATTTCCCTTTAAGGGTCTACTGGGGGCTCTCTGAAGAAGTAATGGGCCCCTTGTTGCAGTCTGAGCGAAAACAGCCCTGGCCATACTCGCTCAGAATCCATGGTGTAAAACAAGTTTTACAGATTCAGCGTCAAAGAACGCTCCTCATAATTTCGGAAGTTAGACACAACACTTTTTGAGACGCTGTAATTTCATGCAAATCTCGGAATATTTAAGCTGAAGCTACAAAAGAAGTGCACCCGGGCTGCTCACTGGAAAAAAAGGAGCTGACTGCATCATGCGAACCACTTATCTTGCGGGAAAAGTTGGAATTAGCAAAAACACAGTGTTATAGCACGCCATGCAGGTGAGAGAGAGGCAGAGAAAAACAGAAAGTTGACGCGATTAAGATTACGAGGACGAGAAACGCGAAGGGATCGAGTTCGAATTGTTCGTAGACCCGCAGTCGAACGCTTGCGCAATCGAAGCAGTCGAAAGCTTGCGTGACCGCAGCGAGACAGCTATCCTAATCCTCGTGAAGAATTTATTTTGTGAAAGAAAGCCTTGGAAGTGACAGCCTAGAATGTCTGGATGTGCTCAGGAGGCTGAACTCAAGTCATCATGCAAAGAAACAAGATAAGCTGTAGCACAGCAGTTTCTCCACGCAAAGCGGAGACATGTTGGACGGCTGCCAAGAATGTGCGACTTTTCCCACGTAAATTGCGTGCAAGTTCACTGCTACCACCTTCTCGAGTTAAAGGTGTGTGACAGTCAGAGGTGAACATAGGGTTCACTAGAATGGCAACGTCAGTGCGACCCTCTTTCAATTTCCCTTTTCCCTCTCAACGTAGCTTGACTATTACGTTTTAAAAACCCTTACAGGTTCCAAGACCAAGTGGACCTTTGCGGCAGCCTATTGTCTGCTCTTTTTCATTTTCGTAAATTGTCTCTCCGCATGGTCGTTCAGTCAAGAAATTAATGAAAAACCAAAATTGGGGAATTTTCAAGAGTTTCTTTCGCTGGATATCTCTGAGCTTTATGGGATAGTACACTAAGGGCTGATACCACTCCATCTTTTTATTGGTGAGATCTCGGGTATCATTAGACCTGCATCAACAACATATAGCTACAACAGAAATCGAAATCTACACCTACACGAGCAGGGAGGGGTGATCAAATTAATATAAATGCGGTATAAATGAATAAAAGACTATCTAGCAAGACAGCCCAGCCAGTTTCTTCTGTATATATCCTGATCAGTTCACATTTGCAAATTCATAAATGTAGTCCATTGCCCACGCCTTAGTATCTCATAGGTGACTCTAAATTTCGTAATGTGTAAGAGGTTGCTCAAATGCGTGGAAAAATTAATATTATTCTCATGAAGTGGCAAAGTAGTAGTGAAACCGGTAAACGGCTAGCCAAAATGCTTTGAATCAAACCACAGTCACCCGGAGTGAATGAAGTGGGCAGAACGCGCAACGTTAGAATGTTGCACGTTGTCGAGATATCATTTGGCGTAGTTCTTGAGGAAGGGGAATCTTATAAAGGTATCAGAAGTAAAATAGTGATGAAATATTCCGAATGAAGTCAATATAAATGCGAGAATGATTTGAAACATTTTCAAGCCCAAGTTGTCGTCTCGAAGGGTTTGTGTGGTTGTTTTGCAATAACTTATAAAGTTGCAAATAGCTTAACCTGTTCCTAATGTATTAAGTGAACAGACGCGTATTTGATTTGTTTGTCTTGTTAATTGGTGTTTTTCGGCAAAGTGCGCCATGCGAATGTTATCAATGCAATGGAACAAAACACGACGCCTCAGCCGGGACTTGAAACCGGCTCTTGCATTCTCCCAGTACTACAGTGTGAATTGCTTCAAAGACGAACTGTAAACCCTCACTCCGAGGAAAACAGTTGCTTGCCATATGCCAGAGGAGAATAGAGTTCTTGCCGTAAATGTGCCACAGCTTGAAGCGCGGCGCTTTGAGGTAGTGGTACCCTAATGTCTCCAAACTCTGCCCATGCTATTCTCAGTGGCACTGGCTTTGATAACACGGTCCCGCAGCGTACAAGCAGTCAAGGAGGAGGGCAACAAAAGTGGGAACCCAGTGAAACAGTTAGGATTGACGAGGTGAACAGGTAGTGATTGGACGAGTGGATAGCCGTGAGCCAGTGCTGCCGAAGCACGGAGGCGGCGCGATACAGCACTACCCTCCAGCCCCCTTCCCGTGCACTGTTGAGCGAAGAAAGTTGCACGCTAGTGGCTGCGGACGCTTTCCCCGCTCACATGGCAAGGACCGTGATGTACGGAGGCGAGTTTAGTTTGCAGCTAAGGTAATGTTCAACGCATGAAACTTTCAAAAGAGGAATCGAATATAGTTGAGGGCTTTCCGCTCCAGGCAGTGGCGCTATACGAAACAGTTCTTTAGTATCGACGGCTTACAAACTGTTTTTATTAAATTTAATGTCGTAGTAGAGAACATTGTATGAATGAGCCTCGAGAAATGTGTAGAAATTTGAGTTGCACCGTCGTCGTCGCTTCATTCTTGAAAGCCTGTAAGGGATTCATCCCAGCTGAGAAGTTTTTCGGCACTATTCAACTATTACTACCCCAGTTTTGCGAAAACAGGCCGGATCTTGATCGACTTTTTTCTACGGGGGCGGATTTGGCTGAAAGTTGGGTTCTAGGGGTAATTCGACCTCCTGAACACGAATATCACATCCACTTGGCCTGAAAGTGCCTGGCGCCCGCGCCACAGGCGCCAGTGATTGGGGCATTTTGGCGCCGGCGCCCGTGGCGCGGACGCCAAGCGGTTTCAGGCCGAGCGGATGTGATCAGGAGGTCGAATTACCTCTAGAACCCAACTTTCAGCCAAATCTGCCTCATGTAGAAAAACGTCGATCATGATCCGGCCCGTTTTCGGAAAATTGGGGTAGTAATAGTTGATGTACCGTTTTTTAATAATAGCTCTGGAGCAAACCTCTTGTATAATTCTGGCCTACGGCTCCTTTGATCCTAAGCTTTCTCGGAATCCTGCGGAACATTCGGTCGATGTCGTCTGACATGATGATGGTCGGATGTTTGCCGCCATGTGGATTAGGTGGCATAAATTGGTTGAACGCGATTTTCAGCACACAGAATGCCTTCAAAAGTGCCATTTGGATACACTTCATATCAGGGAGTCAGGCTGGGCGTAGCTGCGCACTTTCCACTGCGGCGGCGCTTTTAATGCCGTTTCACTAAGATTGTAATCAGTAATCATGCTTTTGTCCAACACAAGACAGGATGACAGTAGTCAATTGGAAAAAAAGCGTTTTCACACCCTGTTCAAATGAAATATGCAGCCACGTCCACCCCACCGCCATTAAATGGAGAGTAAGCGAGGACGCCCGGAACTTAATAACGCTTATACCTCCACTTGAAGGAGCGTAATCTGTCATCAGAATCCCTAGCTCTTCCCACCCCAGGATACTGAGCAGTCAAATCCTTCCTTTTCTCCCACAACTCCCCATAGGTCTGATTTTCGCTTACCATTATTTCGGAAAACTTTCCGAGAGCCGTAGGTTGGTAGTCAGTTAGTTTGGTAACATTCGTCTTCACATTTTTCATGTGAGCCTTTATTTTCTCGTCAAATTCTACCACTTCTTTCTGAAATGTGACAAAACGTAGTCGTCAGCCTCAAAGTGAAGAACTGTTTTGTTTGTAGCAAAGTCATAAATGCATTGTTTTACCTCGATCTTATATTCTTTGGCCCAGTCCTCAATTTTCTTCTTTTGTTCTGCAATCGTCGAATATCATTGAATATAATTTTGAAATATTTTTTTCGAGCTTCTTCCGTAACATTTTTCAGATATGGTGGCGATGGAGGTGGACATGGTAGATGGTGATGAACATGGGACGGCCCTCCTTTTCGGGACTGTAGGCTAATACACTAGCAAAGATAAACACAATAAGAGTCGCCGCGCCATTTTCGCGTAGCGATCTCAAATACAAAAGGAGTCTTGAAAGAAAATTGGGCCAGTGGTATCGTTTTCGTCAAAACCGCCACCATGCTGCCTTATATCCTTTATTTTCGGGCTGATCTGCTGCATGTAGTTTCACTGTGCGCCTCTGTGAATGGACATTGCCTGCATGAATATTGGGCGAAATCCTGATGGGGAATGTTTCCCTTTCTGGAAACTATTGTAGGAATGTAATGAGACAATAAAGATATATGTAATGAGCAATAATAATAAAGTCGAATCTTGGATCCAGATGGCGACAAAAAAATACTGTATAACCAAATTCGCCATAGAATGTCTATTGATGTCAATACTACCCGACCCAAGTCAACTTGTGAACTGGAACCCTTCATGTTCTTTCTTGTATATTTCTCTTGCAGTATGAAAAAAGAGAGAAAGAAAAACCCTTTGAACTCAATAATATCGAGCGTTAAATGAACTGATCATTCATTTCGTGATGGAACTACCTCATCTCTGCGCCTGCCTGATGTTCGTGAAGGTGGGATTCCAGGTAGCTATTCCTTGGCAGCTCGGTTCCCCGAATCAGTGATTCCGGGCCCCCAGTTTTTTTTTCTTACGAGTCCGGGAGCATACAGTTCATTATCGGTTGACCCCACGGCTTGTCGGTGAGATGAGAACTTTTGAAGGAACAGCAACCTTGAGGGCACAGCATCCCCTGGGTCGAACCAAACGAAACTTAGGAAGATGATGGGTAGGATGAAGGCGGAGTCGTACCAAATGATGAAACTCGTTGGTAATGGCGTACTCACACGCTATTTCACTCTCAGTGATGAACCCTATCTACGGTTGACGATCCAAGCTTTAAATATGTTACCTTAGCAGTAATGGTGAGTGAAAATCAGTTTCAAAGTTCACAAGGGAATCCTATCCTATGTGAACATGTGCGCTAAATCACTGCAGCTGACAATGAAAGTGCAAGAGATCAGCGAACAGCCTTTTACGCCAGTTACTGCTGACTGGGGACACCCTCATTGGTGGAAAAGGCCGCCTTGTCTGCTCTCCAATCCACGCCCCTTCAAAGGCCCTATCGTTTCAAGTGTTAACGACTTTCGAGGAACAGTTTCTTTTTATCGAATGCGTAGAGTTCGAATTCGTTAGCCTTTTGTGTCATGCAAAAATGGTCCAATAGCAGCAATACAACAAGTCCGCATTGTAACAATGAAGGGGTTTCGAAGGATGCGAGAAATCCTCGGCTAGGCCGTCGTCCTCGCTTCACTCTTGGAATCCTGCAAGTGAATCACTTTTGTTAGAATGTTCTCCTTAACAGCTCCATACCGTACCTTCTTGAGAGTCTCGTCCTCTTCTGCTGTCATCCTCTGATTCGCGGGAAGCAGATGGGCTTCTTGCTTCGTCACCGCGAGGGCCACGATGTCTTCTATCAGGTGGACCATGCGGTACATGGGGGCCATGGGGACGTGGCATGAATTCGTGGAACGCAAACTCTAGCACATGGAATGCCTGTAAGTGGATTTAAAAAGATCATCACATGGATTACAAAAAAAGTAGAAATTAAAGCATTAGTTATTACTTTAGGATTTGTATCACTTAGCTCCCTCTTCTTCTGTTCCCTCTGTTTGCGAGTCTGATCTTCGTTCTCCATGACTTTGGAAAAGTCTTCGAGAGCTGTCGGTAAGGAGCCAATCAGCTTAGTCACGTTCTTCTTCACTTCTTCCATGTGAGCCTTCCTTTGCTCGTCAAATTCCTGCACTTCTTCCTGGAAGTTACAATCCGATTGATGAGCTTCTGGGCTTTCAACAATGTGACAACCCCACTAACCTCAATCTTATTTGTTTTCGCCCAATCCTCTACTTCCTTCTTTTGTTCTGCGATCGTCAAATTCCCGTTTGACATGATTTTGAAATATTCTCTTCGAGCTTCGTCAGTAACATTTCTCAGGTATGGCGGTGGAGGCCCGTGCTGAGGTCCAATGTGGTGTGGACCGGGACCTCCGGGAGCATAAGCCACCGCAGTAGAAAAAATGAACGCAATGAGAGCTGACTTCATTCTGAAAATACAGAAATTTATTCCTGATCCTTGGCACTCTTCCCAAGATGAATAAGCAGTTGCCAGAAGGTTAAGCGCAGCGTGTTACATGCTAGGGCAGTTTGGCAGGGCACGTCGGCCGTGGCAACCCGTATGAGCCCCACCACCCCATCCTTACCTGAGCTAATTACCATTCTGAAGACTCATGCGTTTCTGCACCAATACCATCCCTACTGCTTATTCGGCACCCTGGTCATGATGTATCACGTACGTTTTTCGCATTGGTACCATTTGATGTCGCGGTCCTGTTTACGAAACTAACACCCGCTATAGTGCTGGCACCATTTAGAGACAAATGGCGATAAGTGGTGTCAAAAACGGATGTCTATTCACAACCACAGTACAGGTAACTCCTATGGACGGCTATCACAAAAATACTGAGTTGTGGGCAGAAGTCGGACCATGGGCCGGATTCAAACCCGCATCTTCCGCTTACCGGGCAGTTGCGTACTCTATTACGCTACCGGGGTCACTTCTGATCTCTCAGTCAATGGCTATTTGTGCCATTGCCTTCGAGCACTCACACGTTCAACGTGATGAGCCGGTTAGCCGATATCGGCAGTGAACCGCAAGGCTGAAGGCTTTCTACAAGTTTTAAGCTGTTATTTTTTAATTAATGTCAATATTGAGAGGTCAAAAGTGGCCCCGGTAGCGTAATAGGGAACGGTGAGCAGAAGATGCGGGCTCGAAGCCCGCCCGTAGTCTGACTTTTGCATACAACTCAACATTCTTGTGATAACTTTCGGATCGCACACCTGCGGCGTTAAACAGCAGTTATCAATACAACCAGTCGGATCGGTCGATTTCGGCCAACCGATCCTCTTTCTCTGGAAGTGGGTCGGTGGAGAAGTTTTCGCATGAGTGGGAGGGCCAAAATCGGAATACCCTCCCCCACACAGACGGTCGTCAAAATTTTTCTAATGCGGCACCTCCCTTATTTTCTATGCGGCACTCCCCTTAGTGATGAGGAATCGCAGAATTAACTATTGCCGACGGTACCAACCATTTGGTACACTGTCTAGGGTTATCCCTCACTAACTTCATCTGACAAACCACTGCTCAGTTTCACCTTACTCCCCATTTTGTGTGGTTTTTCGTATGCGTTTTGAGGATTTTTGCCCTCGGCACCGTTCACTTTGGCGAACGCCCCGCCCGTCAGGGGTGTGCTTCATTGATTTCGTCCGCCAACTGATTGCCTATCGTTTGCCACTTTTTCCGCTCTCGGGGCTCTTTTGGAACCGAACTACGAATTTTTGAAAGTTTCGTAGCAAGCACCGCCCACCTATAGAACGCCCCGCCCAAAGTGGGTTTGTCTCACTCATTTCGACCGCCAACCGATTGCCTATCGTTTGCCACTTTTTCCGCTCTTGGGGCTCTTTTGGAACCAAACTACGAATTTTTGAAATTTGTAGCTCACAACTGTGCGCACGCCCCGCCCACAGTGGGCGGAGCCTAGCTTAGTTCATGTGTGTTCCGTACGTCTTGGTCCATGCCCAAGAGCCATTTGGAAGGGGCTGGTCAAGGGATACCCAACCCACCCTTGACCCGCCCCCTCCAACTGGCTCTTCAGGTGATTCCGAATTTCCGGACAGACAGACAGACAGACAGACAGACAGACAGACAGACAGACAGACAGACAGAGTTGCCGTTTATATATATTAGGATAACATCTCAGAACCTGTTGACGGCGTTCTAACGAAAACCCTTTTTTGAATTTTTAGGATCGTCATTGTTGATCAGGGCCGTTAACTTTGCGAATCGTTACACTGATAGCTTTCCTCTGCTAGCGGTGTTCGGACATAAATAACACTCAGTCAGCCTACTGGTGTGGGGAATTAAGAAATTCAGTATCAGTGATTCCCAGTCAATTATTTATCCAAATGGGCCAGCGACGCCGCCGTGAGTGCGTAATAAGGGGTGAAAGTGAAGATCTGTAATTGTGAATCTAATGAACCACTTACCTGCTCAAGATTGGCTGAAAGTAAAGAACTAGGGAGATAGTTGTAGAATCGATGAACGAGGTTGTGCTGCCCCTGTGATGGTCATGCTACCTTATATCCCCAGTACCGGTGCTGATCTGTTGTCCTTTTACTGTGAGCTACCGTGAATCACCCTTGTTTGTACGGATACTGGATAAAACTCTGACGTCCTATGTAGTGTTTTTCAAACTAGTTTTTCCTCCACACCATCATTATCCCTAAAGTGTCTGAACTATTACCCGCCAGTGTTGAACAGAACCGATTTTTGGGAACGGGCTCAGAGTTTTTAGGGTGGTCTTGATCATGAATAGCACAGGACCAGTGCCTTGTAGTCCACGTCTAAACCCCCATGTTCACCCACTTTCACCACTGAAGTGCAAAGGACCGTGTGACTGCAAGCCTTGATATCCTTTCAGATAACTTGCTCTTCTTGTAACTGAAGGTCAACGGGCAACCTGGCTAGTATTGAGTTTGGGTTGTGTGGAAAATATTGGAGTTTCCATGATTCATACCCATAAAAAGAATCCAGTTTGTTCACGATGACCGTATAAATACAAAACAGATGGACTAACGAGCTACTTCCACCTGTCAGGATTCGCACACGTTTTCTGAGGAAGCCGAGT